CCCCTATCTTGCACGGACATTTTAAGATTGAATAAATTTGGAATTTTGAGACTTTAAATATTTATTCAAGGATTTTGGTATATAGCACAATGTTAATCCGAAAAATATTTAAAATGCCCCCTGTGTCGTATGAATATTTTTTATAGGCTTTGTATTTTAAGATTTTAAATATTTATTTAGGGATTTTGGCACAAGATACGATATTGACCCAAATAAATATCTTAAATGCCCCCAGTCTTATTGAGAATTATGAAATGTATTCTTATGACATAAGAGAATTTCAAAATGCAAGATGTACTTTATATCAAAGAATGTATAAATATTTCATAATAGTTTAACACATAGTTATTCTTATGCATAGTATTTATTCAGGTATTGACTGTTGATTTGCAGTATAGGCCTCTGACTGTCTAGATTGATTAATTGATAAACTCTTCCTTAAAACACCTTCTTGATGCTAAAAGGGCCCTCCAATTAGATATGCATTTGCCACCGAAATTTTTTTTTTTTTTTTGTGGGATGATTGGCCTTCTCAGCTCTAGAACTAATTCCCCTTCTTGAAATGTGCAAGGACACACCTTAAGATCAAAATATTTTGTCATTTTTTCCTCGGTAGATTTCCAAATTTTGTTAATATTTCAATCTAACTTCGTCGAGCGCATCGAGCTCTTCCATTCTTAAGCAAGCATTTTACTCTTGAGAGAGATCATTATGGATTACTATTTAGAGTGATGGCAGTTCAACTTCTAGTGGCAATACTGCTTCAACACTAAACACCAGTGGATAAGAAGTGGCTTTATAGGATTTATGTAAGTTATATGATACACCCATAGCTGCTCTTACATCTTTGTATGCCACTCTCTTCTCTTCATGGTGAGGATCTTCTTCAATAATTTTACCAATGTTTTGTTGAAAGCCTTTACCAAGCATTTTGCTCTTTGATTTTATAAATATGAATATTGCCAATCGATCTTATATCGATCCACAAGCTTGAGAATTTTTTTACTCTTGAAATTTGTATCATTATCTGAGATTATGCAGCATGGCACACCAAATATTTAGATAATATTATGGGTAATGAAATTTATCACATACTCGGATGTGACTTCTTTCAATAGAGCTGCTTCTGCCCATTTTGAGAAGTAATTTATTGCTGCCAGAATAAAGTGGTGTCCTACTGAAGATGGTGGATCTATCAGCCCGATTATATTTATACCACAGCATTTAAATGGTTAGGATGCTATTATAGGGTGCAGTGGATTTGGCAATGAATGTATAACATCATCATGGATTTGACACTTGTGGCACCTCTTGGCATGGTTAATATAATATATAACCATGGTCGGCACATAATAACTCATTCTCTTGATTTTATCAGCCACCTTAGGACCTAACTGAAGTGCTCTACAAAGCCTTTCATGGACTTCTACTACTACTTTATCAGCTTCCTCGGTCTCCAAGCATCTCAACCACATTTTATCAAAAACTCGTCGATATAATGTATCATTGATAACTGCATATCACGACACACTTTTTTCAATTTGTGTAGTTAGAGATTTATCCATTAGGAGTTTTCTTTCTTTGAAATAATCAATGAAGGGTTGCCTCTAATAATCTTTCTCCTTAACATCAAGGCAATGCAAGTATGATTTTGAGTATCTACTAGCCTTATGTCTCTTGACTATAGGCTTTCTTCTGGTTAATTTTTAACAATGATCTATTGGGGGGGTTAAGGATCAAATGGGTTGTATCCTGCTAGCATGAATGTGGTATTCCCTATGCATATGAGAATTGCAAGATTGTTGGCTCTAAGACACGATGGTTGTGAACCATAATTTGTATAGGCATCTCCTTGTCGGTGTTTAACACATCCTTGGCTAATTTTGCTAGGCAATCTACCTTGGCATTATGACCTTAAGGAACTCAAGCTATTCTAATATTTCAAACTTGTTTTAGAAGCTCAAGATCTCACCGATTATAATGTGCCAATTCAAGTTTTCCAACCTTGTATAATCCGATGACTTGATTTATCACAAGTTGAGAATCAATAAAGATTTGGAGATTTTGGATTCTTACATCAATCGTAATATAAAGTCCTGCTATTAGAGCTTCATATTTGGCTACATTATTGATCTGAGGTTCAGTCAAACTAATTGAAAATCTCACTTTATCTCACTCAGGTGCTTATGATACCCCGTCAAAGTATATCTCCCAAAATGGTAGTTTTTCATCTTCCATGACTTGCATGATTTGTTCATCAGGAAAATCATTGTTGAGTTGAGAATGAAAAGTCCATATAGGTTGTTAAACCTACGCAATTGTCCTAAGATAAACCAAGAGGCGGTGAATTGATTATTTTAAAAACACTTAATAAATTATAGAAAAAAACTATTTAATAATTATTTAAAACATACTTTTAAACCACAATAACAAATTGCATTAAATAAAATACTGAAATAAAAAGAATGTAATGATTTATAGTAGTTCGATCCAACAAGACCTACGTCCACTCCCTGAAGATTCCCTCTTCAGGTATTACACTATTACCAAAGTGACTCCCCTTTTACCCCCACAATAAGGTGGAGAAGCCTTTATAATTTTCCTCTCTTCCACCAATCCCAGTGCAGCAGAGTACTGTCATCCTTTCATACCCTTTAAATGTCAGCAGTGTACTATCATCCTTTCACACCCTCTAAGCTTCGGTAGAGTACCAACATCCTTTCACCCCCTCCAAGTGTTGATATAGTATCGGATCTTCTCCAAAGATCTTTTCTTGAGCAACTAGAAAGAAGAAAGGAAGAGAATTGATAAAAAAACAAAAGAGAATCTTACCTTTTAGTAACCTTGTGAAACCCTTTACACTTCACTTGCAAGAACTCTCTCACAAACACTCTTCCAAATCACACTTTCACTTTCTCTCTAAGAAATCACGAAGACTAGATTAATCCAAGTCAATTGCTAAGGACTTTTTATATGAAAGTCATGAAAAACTATCCAGAAAACTAAAAATTTTAATTTTTAGCATCCACAATCATACAGTATGTTCAACAATCATACATACAAACAATTTAAAATTTTCTTGTACGAACTTGTATGAACCATTTTCGTACATGATGATCATGCAATACGAACCTATATCGTACAATACAAATTGTTCAAAAAATTGTCAGGATGAAAGAGATCTAATCTTTTCTTACTCTAGACGTCATCTGTACAAAGAGTAATTCATACATTACCATTAGTTCAAAAAAAATTTTATGATCATTAGGACAAACTTGTATGTATCTATTTCATACTTTGGACATCGTATGTATAAATTTCTCTTGATATAATACGAATAGTGCTTAGAAAACTTTCTTAATTTGATTTGTATAACTTAATTACAATAACACTTCTTAGACTCAATAAAAATAATTAAGCAATAACACTCCCCCAATTTGTGTAGGCAATAATTGAATATATCATCCCATATGAATATAAATCGTACAGTACAATTAGTTTTAAAAAAAAATTATAAAACTTTAACACTTCCCCAGTATGTTTGTGCATCATTACTTAATTACAGTAACACTTCTCAGACTACACTTCTCTTTGGATTTCAGGTTAGATAATTGGTGAGAAAGCTCCGTCTTCCTGTTCGAATCTCCCGCAATTTTTCACAGCCGGTGGAGCAGTCGCTAGATGATCATCGGTGTTTCTCTGCCAATGTCATGGCTGCTTCGCAACCTTCAGGCCCTCTATGTACCTTTGGTAGAGGTATGAATGGTGTGGTTATCAGAGAAGGGGTGAGACCTCCGACACGTCAATCTCTGGTTGAAGGAAAGGGAAAGAAGGTGATGGTGGATGATGTAGCGGCTAGGAGGAATGTGGATCCAAAGGAGATTCCAGGTACACACATTCTTGATTCTTTGACGTCAGATGATGTAATCTTGAAGGATTATAGATTTTCTGGAACTTTTGAGATGAATGAGGGTCGAAACATGGGAAATGATCTGAAACCTGAGGATGCTCAGATGATGGATGAGAACCATGATCTCAGAAAGGGTTATGGGACGGATTCGATGAATGACAGAATCTTGGTAAATAATATGGAGGATCACAATAAACTGGATGGTATGAAAGAGGTTATTGAAGCTTGGAAAAAGCCGAAACAAATCAAGATTGATTTTAACAGAGAAAAAGTTGAATTATCAGAAGATGGGATTGCTTTCAGGCTTAATTCGGATATGGAATCAAAAAATACACAAGTTTTGAAACATTCAATAGCAATAAAAGTTTTGGGAAACAATGTGCCTCTCTCAGGTTGCATCGTAGAACTGAGAAGGCAATGGAGTAAGTATGGTGGATTCTACATGACGTCAATTGGTATGAATTGGATTCTTTGTTCATTCTAGACGGAGGAGGCTGTGGAGGAAATTCTCAATGGCAGACCGTGGTATGTTTGTGGCTGCATTGTCAGCATGGATAGATGGTCCCCTACTTTTGATCCCTATTCTTTCAAGGGGATCCCCGCTCCTGTCTGGATCAGATTTCCATGTTTGCTGCTATACTGCTGGGATGAGGATAATATAGCGAGAATTGCATCTCGTTTTGGAGCACCAATGTACATAGATGGAAATACATTTCGATGGGGGAAATGAGAATTTGCTCGTGTTTGTGACAAGATTGATTTGGAGAAGAAACTACCGTGGAGTTTGGGTAGAAGGGGGAGATTTTTCCAACGGGTGGAGTATGATAAGGTTGATTTGATTTGTTATCATTGTGGTCAAGTGGGACATGATAAGGTTGAATGTCCTGATGGTGTAGTTTAGGGGATTACAGATCAAAATATTAGAAAGACAGATGCTGATACAGGTGAAGTAAAGAAGAAAATTTCTGAAGCCAATCCCTCTGTGATTAAGTCTGAATATGGCCCGTCAATACATGTTCAATTTAAGAATAAATTGTTTACTAAGGATAGAGCTATTAGAAGAAGAGTGAATGATCATAATGGAATCAGGATGGAGAATTTGGGGAACAAAAATCAGAGGAATAATATGCAAAAACAAATTCCAATTGAAAAGGAGGTTGCTGTTGTTGTGGATATTCCTGATATGGTTTCTAATAAATGGCCAGGTGGAAAGAAAACTGCTGAAGACAAGATGCCAACTATTTCTGTAACTAACAGATATGCTGTTTTGCTTGAAGACATCGGGGAAGAACCACTGGAAAAAATTGAGGAGATTGATAAACTGAAGAATACGGATACCCCCTACAATGAGGAGGTTGTTGTTGCTGGAGATACGGGTATGGAAGTAGATGATCCAGGTATTGTAAATAATGGCATGGCTATTCACAGTGGTGTTAATAAAAATAAACTTGCCAAAGAATTAAAATCTTTGGGACCACTAGAACCAGGATATAAAAAGAAGAAGAGGGATGGAAGGGTAAATTCCATGAGTGGGGAGAGATCCCCATCAAGGGTGTAATGTCTTCTCTATTATTTTGGAATTGCAGGGGGGCTAGAAAGAAGGAGGCCTCCTTGTACTGAAGGAGATTGTTAGAGATCAGGACGTCTTTTTTATTGGGTTAATGGAGACCAAAATGACCAGCATTGATAGGAGGGATGTTGATTGCCTTATTAAGAATTATTGGGAGTATTTCCATTACCCTGTTGTTGGTCTTTCAGGGGGTGTTTTGGTGCTTTGGAATAACAAGATTGTGTATTTTGTGGTGGAGGAGACTTCTTCCCAATTGATTATTGGGGACCTCTCGGTTCCTAGCCTTAGGTCTTGGAAGGTTTCCACTATTTATGGGAGCCGATGTTGTAAGGAGAGGGAGAATCTTTGGAGCTAGCTTGGAGGGTACATGAAGGATTTTATTCCTTCTATCATTGGTGGGGATTTCAATTGTATTTTGAATAAGGAGGAGAAGAGAGGAGGTAAGAGGTTCCTTTTTTCCAAAGGGCCTGGAGATATGAAGTGTTTTATGACAAACTCAGATTTCCATGATGTGAGAAGCATTGGACCAAGGTTTACATGGTGCAACAACAAGGAAGGAGCCTCTCGAATTTGGGAAAGGCTAAATAGGTGCTTGGTGAACTCGGTTGCACTTCAAAAGCTTCCTTTTGCTCATACTAGACATCTAGCAAGAGTGGCATCGGATCATAGTCCAATTGTCTTCAAATTGGATGAAAGGGTGCGTCTCAAGGTGAAGAACATCAAATTTGAGGATACATGGAGATCTTATCCAGTGGCTAGGACTATTGTGTACCATTCATGGAGGAAGAATGATTTTGGTGATGAAGGTATGATCCTATAAAGGAAGCTTAATAGAACGCTAGAAGCATTATTTTTTTGGAGTAAAAATAAGTGCAAAGACTTAAATGAGCTAAAGGAAAGTCTGAAAAGGGAAATACTTGAACTTCAAAACAAAGAGGCTGTGGGAGAAGATTGGTCAGGTGATGATCTTCTTGTGCTTAGAAGCAAAGTTCATGAGCTTAATGTGACATTGAGGAGATTATCAACTTGGTGGAATCAAAGGGCAAAAGCAAGGTGGCATGAGGAAGGAGACACAAATTCAAAGCTATTTCACAATTTTGCTACGGCAAGAAGGAATGGTAATAGGGTGGTTCAAATTAAAGATGTGCACAATAACTTGCAAGAGGAAGATGATCAAATTGAGAAGGTTTTCATTCAGTATTTTGAAGCAAAATGGCAGTCCAGAACTTGTGATTTATTAGGTTGGCCATCGGTTTCTGAGAACTAGAGATTGAATTCGGATGAGGTAGCTGCATTGACTTCAGAATTTTCTGTTAATGAACTGCAGGTATCAGTTTTTCAGTAGGGGAATAACAGATCTCCAGGTATGGATGGAGTCACTTCCTCTTTTTATAAGTGTTATTGGGATATTGTTTGGGAAGCTTTGTGGAATGCTACTAAATGCTTTCTAAATTCTAGCCATATGAATATGGATTGGAAGGACACTCTTATAGTTTTGATTGCTAAAATAAAAAACACTCTGATTCCATCCAATTACAGGCCTATCAGCCTATGCCAGACTAACTATAAGATTGCAGCTACTATTTTAGTTAATAGATTGAAGAAGTGTAATTCCAAGATAATTACTGAAGAGCAAATGGCCTTTATTCTAGGAAGATCAATTTCTGAGCATTGTTTGCTGGCTCAGGAGATCTTTCATAAGTTCAAAATATCCAAAAACAAGAAGGGGTTGATGGCCTTGAAGCTAGATATGGAGCAAGCGTATGATAGCATGGGGTGGCCTACACTTGGCCAAATACTTAAATGGTATGGGTTTCCTTCTTTGTTTTCAAACCTTCTCATGGAATATGTTGTATATGTGAGGTTTTCTATCATTATCAATGGGAAGAATTCCGATTGGATTAATGCTCAAAGTGGCTTCCATCAAGGATGTCCACTCTCTCCATACCTCTTCATCATGTGCTTCCAATTGATGTATAACTCTTTAGAGCAGAGGGGACAAACTCTTGGTATTAAAGTCTCTCCTAGAGGTCCAAGGATTACACATCTGCTCTATGCAGATGATTTTTTAATCTTCTCTCATGTCTCCATGGCTTTAGCTAAAGCTTTGAAGGCTATTGTTGAAGACTTTTGCAAATGGACAGGCCAAAGGATTAATGTTAGCAAATCTCAGATTATTTTCGGCAAGGATGTCAGATATCACATAAAGAAGAAGATTGTTTGATTGTTTGGATACAAAGTGGATAAGGAGATGAGTTATCTAGGGATAAAGATGTCTCTTAACAGATTAAAGATGGCTGATTTTCAAGAAGTGTTGAGCAATGTCATGGATAGACTCATGCTTGGGGTAAGAAGTCATTATAATTGGGAGGTAAGATTACTCTCATTACAAGCACTTTGTTGTCTATGCCAAACTTTTTAGTTACACATCTTTGATTCCTAAAAGAATGCTGTATGAGTTGGAAAAACTTTGTAGAAGTTTCATTTGGCACAAACCTGATGGAAACCGAAGTATGCATTATGTGGCATGGGGAGAATTGTGTAAACCAAGAAGTATGGGAGGAATGGGACTACAATCTCCTGTAATGAGGATTGGTTCTTTGAGATTGAAGCTGGCCTGGGACTTTATGAAGAAACTGGAGACGTTATTCCATAGAATAATTAAAAATAAGTATGGGGATGAGATTATGAATGGTACACATAAGAGACTCACTTACAATGCCTGGAAAATCCTGCTAGATGGTGGTAGATAGTTGAAGAATATAAACCAGATGGAAAGTAGGCAGTGGTGATAATATCAATGTGTTAAATGATGCCTAGTTGTTAGACAAGTGCATTAATCGGTGGCCAACGTTTGTTGATTGTGTATCATTGGAACGGATGTATGTACACCAATTGTTATTGAGGGAAGGACAATGGAATTATGTTCTGCTTTAGGATTTTTTTCATCCTGATCTCATCCTTTTGATCAGTCAAATTCAGATAGATTTCGGTATGGAGGATCGGGTGGAGCTGCTGAATATGTGCTCGGATAAGACATTTTCTGCTATGTCTTATGAGCAAATACTGAGACATAAATTCAATATGGATGATGATAGTTATTATAATTGGCTTAATAAACTCAAGCTTAACAAGAAAGTGGAGATATTCTGGTGGAGACTTGGGAAATCTGCAATTCCAACTAACTTGTTTCTTAAGTACCGCAGGATTGCTGTGGATGATTCATGTGCTAGAGGTTGCCAATCAGTTAAGAACTGTGAACACATTATGGTTCAATGCAAATATGTGGTTGAGGTCATTACTCAGATACTTGAGTGGGGTATCCATATTTCGGTTTTCCAATCGTTAAAGTGTTGTTTGCAGGAGCTAAGAAGGTTAACATCTCGAAATTCTGGTATTGTAAAAATCTATTGCACCATTGTCTACCTCTCTTGGAAGAATCAGAATGATGTTAAGCATGGAAAAGCTGCTTTGCCTTATTCTTTGGTAGCTGTGAATGCTTTATCTTTGGTCATTACTAAATGTAGTCCACATCTTTCCAACTAGGGTTCTAATCTCCTTAGGGAGTCTCATGATTCTTGGTGCCCTCCACCGAAAGACTGGATGAAGATCAATATATATGCTTCATTGCTTAGTTCTAATTGTTCTAGAATCGGTGGAATCTTCAGAGATCACAAGGGTATATTCATCATTGCTTTTGGGAAGAATAAAGTCCATTGGGATATTGTTCAGCTTGAGGTGGAGGTTGTTTTCTCGGTTAGGGAGCATATAAGGAGTTGGATGCTTGAGTACAAAGGGGTGATTATTGAGAGTGACAACCTCAACATTATTACTTTCATCCAAGATTCTTTAAAAAAGAATAAATGCTTGTGGATAGGTGGCAGGCAAAGAAATTCTTATTCTTAAATGACTTTCATAAAGTTATTTTTCAACATACCAATAGAAGTTGTAAAAAAGTAACCAATTTGTGTGCTACTATGGCATTGGAAAGTAGTTTCTTTTTTTATAGCTTTTCTTTTAATAACATTCCTTCCTTGTTATTTAATTCAATCAAGGAGGAATGTGATCCTTTTAACAATTGTAATTAGTTTCATTGTTACTTAATGCAATTTGGATGCATTTCGTAAAAAAAAACACTTCTCAGACTCAATAAAAATGAAAAATATAGACTCCATTTACAATTAACCCTATTCTAATTTGATTTGAAGTCTTCAACAATCTTGAGTATACTTTCCCTGAAATGTTAGAATAAACAAACAATAAAAGCAATATATCCAATATATGTTAGGAGAAATAATAATAAAGATAATAATATTTGGAATCATAAAAAACACATTATATGAAAAATATAGTTATGAAAACTAACTTGAAATAATCTTCCACTTTTTTATGATGGCAACACAATTATTATTTGAGTTATTATTTAAACCCTAAATTTCTCCTTAGCTCTTCCTAAATGACTGAACATATTTGAATATAGGGATTTTCATGAAGATTAAAAAAAATCTAAACACAACAAATAAAAGACACAAAAACACAACAAAAATACGAACACGAAAATACAAATCAACAAACATAAGCAAACAATATTATTAAACACAAAATACGAACCCAAAAATACAAATCAACAAACATAAATAAACAATAGTATTACTCCCACTTTTGACAATAATAAAAAGGGAGGTAGAAATTGAAATGAAAGATGTCAAACAAAAAACCAAAAGAATTGACTTAGAAAATTATTTTAAACTAAATGCAATAACAATCATAATTCCATAATACTAAAAAAAATCATAATTTTAAATCAAAGAACAACTAAGATAAGAAAAGTTAATCAAGGTCATGATTCATGCTAGACAAATTAAATAAATATAATTATTACAAAAATGACAAAATGAAGATTAATTAACTTCAATTTCAATATAGAATATAATTCTAAATTAGATAATTAAATGATAGTAGAAAGAACATGATAATAATAAAATCAATTGCAATATTGCGCATCTTTTCAAATATATGTGGCACACTGTGCATCTTTTCTATTTAGGCTAATTTTGTGCCTCTCTTCACTTTGCGAACCATTACGTAATCTTTCAATTTTTTGCATACATTATGCATTACTTTTGATATACTTTTTGGATCTTTCCAAAATTAGTAATCTAAAATCAAACTTCTCTAATAACCAAAAAAGCATATTAATAAAGAAATAAAAAATAATAAGACATCAATATTGCAATAATGATATTCTAGTTATGTTTGCCTAAAAGAATATGAAATTGATCTTCTTATATAAGTCCAGTTATAATTTAATTTAAATTTTTTAAAAAATTAGATTTCATAATGAAATTAATTTTGTAATGCAAATTAATTTATAGCACATTCTATATCAATTACAAAAGATTTTTCATATAGGCATACTAACATTTCAAGAAGTAAGAAACAAACACAAGTTTCCAAAACATAACAATTTTCATTTATATCAAAAGGATCAGATACATTTAATACATGGATATCAATTAAAATAAAATACATAACATCAAAACATAAAACATAATAACATCAAACAACTACTATAAATATGAAATAGAAAACACCATAACATCACTAGTAAAAGACTGATAGAAGTAACAACAAAGAAGTACATCTAAAACTCAGAGGGTCCCTGGTCTGAAGGAGGAGGTTGGTTGAATATTGAAAAATAGATATTCATCATAGATATGTTTGTATTTACCATGTCAAATTGACCATGGATCCACCCCATGTCCTCCTGGTATCTCACATCCTGCTGATTTAAATAAGTCTCAATCTGATCAAAACATTAATCAAAGTTAGTCTCCAATCGATCAAAATGTTGGACAATCTCCTAAAAGTAGTGTTGATCGGGCTTAGGTGCAGGTGCAAGAGCTCACCCTTCTTCTTCAAAGTCATCACTCTCTGGATTCTGATCTCTCCCAAATAGTGATAAAAAATCAGCATAAGTGAAAAAGATATGAAGTTCTATGGGAGGATCAGAATAAAGTATGTGGTACTTCTTATCTAAGATTTATGCTACTAAGTGTCCAAGAGCAAAATTATTTTTCCTCTTATGATGAGGAACCTCAACTTTAGAAAGATTATAAATATAATCCATGATGAGTTGGGCCTCATCAAAGGGTTTTTGATCATGATCAGGTATGTGACAATGGACATGAGATGAGTCATATTTATATGATCACCAGACTTAGGAATAATTGAGATTCTTAAGACATGTTGGATGATCAGAGAATT